CACGCCTGTTCAGCAAGTCATAACAGCAAACGTGTCAAAAAGAAGACTGGTCAGTCGAGTCGAATACGCCTTGAAAATTGAGAAATACTAAAATCGTGGGTCGTCTGATGTATGGTGTTTTTCTAACACCTGACGTAGTGTGAAGGTTTGGTCAACGCAACTCCTACTAGACCAAAATCCCTCCTCGTGCTCTCGAATCATTGTTTCACCAGGCGATAAAACCCCATTGATACCAACGGCCTCGTTGAAACCGGGGTTAAGCTGATCACCTTGTGGTTACCACACTCACTACGGGCCTAATTTTTGAAAGTGGACATTATCACCAACTCTCCCCAGTCGTCTCGGGCAGTCTTTTACCCGAATTCAGGCAAACAGTTCGGAAAAGCGTTGACTGAAGACTTCACTCCCATGTTTTAACAATGTGGGTGGGAGGTCATCCGGACCAGAAGCTCGGTGGTGCTTGAGAGAACACATGTAGTCATACACCTCGGAGGGTTTCACGTTCACCGTCCAGGGTTCTACGTCAACTGTGGAATCCAGATGAGTGGCAGCTGGTGGCCGCGACGACTGTTCGAAGTATTTGACCCACCGGTCGAAGCGTTCTTATTTACTCAACTTGGTTACTACTTTCCGATCCTTGATGGTTTCACTCACAGGTGGTTTCCGGGGGCCGGTCGCACGGATCAACTGAAATAACCTTCGGGCCTTACCGGCCTTCTGGGTCTCTTCCACTTTTTTTGGCCTTTTGTGTCCACCAGACTTCACTGTCGGCTAGCACGCTCACCCTTCCTTGAAGTCTGATAATTTGCCCCATCAAGTTATGTTCGAAACTCCGAATTTGAGCAGTGCCACCGTTCATTCTGACATTCAATGCTTGAATGCACCTGGTGGTGCCGTGCCACAGGCGAAATTTCCAGCACTATGCAAAAATAGGTGGTAATCTCCTCCTATTATGAGTTCACATCTGATGGTGGGGCATTTGGAAGAGACTCTAAAAGGCGATTCTGATAAGTTCGTCTGACATCCGGATCTGTCAGTCTCTTAGTTACCGAGATATTTGTCTGCGCCTTACGCGGCCCTGGGAGAAGCAACTCCGGACGAACGCGTGGTCAAAATCCACAAATGTGTTCCAAAATGACTTCGTCTATTTCCGAAGTTACTACTGCATAAAAATGGCCCGCCATCAGCACACAGCTGAAGCAACCGTTCACCATTGTCCCTATGTGCCGAGTTCAATCCATGTCGATCTCCTAATTGAGTCTCAGGTACGCTAAGCGCGCCCAGTTGTATATGTATAACTCCACGAACCACCGTGATATCTGAGCTATTAGCTCACCGCGGTAGGTCATCCAGGGCGTCGTAAAACCTGTCTCGATGGTGTCGAAGCTACAGTCAGTTGGGCCGTAACCAGGCACGATAAACGGACATCGATCAACTTCTCGCTTGTAAGACAACTTCACAGACGTTGCCAGATGAACCACAGGGAAGTGACTATCAACATGTATCCAGTCAAGCAAGAATACTTCCGGTGATTTAGGACGTTACCAAACCCTGCACATCCCGCCGCAGCAGCCTGGGAATCACTAGAGGTTCGTAGCTGGAAGCGAGTGGAAACCGATGGAGCGGTTAATTCAATCACTGTGTTTGCATCTTGAATTCTCGTTTCTGAGACCCAGCACACATCATTGCCAAGCGAGTCCAGTGTGAGAGCAAGAGTAGCTTGTTGTCCTGCTTACTTCAGAGTGCAGGCACTGAAGGCAACCAGGTAGATTGGGCGAACAGGCTTGAAAATGGATCTCGAGATATCCTTGAATTTCGGCGCCATATGACGAGCAGATATTGCACGCAAAACCGATGTAGGACGAACGCAGTCATCAGTCCCAAGTCCTGGGTCTACAAGGAGGGAGTTATTAGTGGGGTGCGGAGTGGGCGGGAAAAGTATGTCAAAAAGAAGGAGGGGAGGTGTCAGGGGTATCCTGTTTTCGCTTTCCCGTCCTGCTGTATGCAGCGAGTAAGGCGATGAGGCTGATGGCTCCACGCGACAGATGATGCGGCCTGATGGTATTGTCAGACGTAGGTATCGTGGTTTCACGTGGGCTGTGATATTGTCAGGGAGACCACACCTAAACAGGAGGACGATTAGGATCCTCAACCAAATCCTTGGGCTCAAAAACCTAACCGCAAGGCAGCGGTGTTTGGCGGGGAATGCAAATGCATTACCATTTCTACGGAACAACCTCCAACCTGGAGGGCCAGGAGACTGTGTTCGTCAGACCTCCAACCATTGACCAACCTGATATGAGGGACTGTGAGTGTTGCGGGGACACCCCCTCAGTATAGCTCATCGGGTCACTGAAGTGTGCCCAGTTTCTCCCTAACGGCATTAATTCACTAGCAGAAACTCCAACTGGAAAGATGAGCTAAGCGCTCCGCAGAATAGCTTAGGTGGTCTCCTACAACACAGCCTATGGAAACCGTGCATACGGGTCAATGGAATATGAACCTTAGTCGACCGTCAGAAGAAATAACATACGAACTATCCGTACTAAAACGTGATAAGGCACCAGTTTCTGACGGTCTGTATTCAGCTCTCCAAAGAAAACGAATATTTCCTGATGATCCATCTAATAAAGCTCATTGGTGCGAGATGAAGTGAAGAGAAAGTGCCTACATGGTGGGGTTCGTCGATTATTTCACCTGTCTTCAAAAAGGGTACGCAGTTGCTGTGCGAAAATCACTATGACATCAACATGGTAGCTCGGCATCAAATGTGCTCTTTGGTCTTATCCTTCGAAGGCTTACTGAACGCAAGGAGAGGGAGACCGGTGAAAACCAAGCTGGGTTCCGATCGCTTTTTCACCCTCTCCCATATTCTGGGACAGCGACACTACTTCCACCAACCAACAATGGCGCCCTACCTTGAGTTGGAAGCTGTTTTTGACTCTGAACTGTCAGCTACCATGACTGTCTATGGAGCAAACGTGTTCCCCATAAAATTTTGACCCTTTTTAGGGCGCTGTGCGCCGAATCTCGCGAAGGGTCTACGGGCAACTCTCTTCTGAGTTCACTAGATCAAATAGTGTCGGGGATGGTTGTCTGTCCTCTTTTACCCTTTCTTTTCAGCTTCGTCACTGATATGCTTATGGAACACTAATTCCAAGTCTCTAATGCCGGTGGGATATTTGCCCGAAGATATAGAATAAGCAGACGGTAGAGCACCTCTTGGGTCTGAAGCCATCGTAATGCTAATTGCACAGTAAGCTAAGTAGCTCTGCTTGACGGTTCGGCATGTGCTTCACATTTGCGAAGTGTAAAGTTCTTGAAAGAAATAACTCGCCAACGGTTGCGCTGGCTTAGCCACGTGCTCCTTATGCCAGTTGACCTTCCACGAGCGGTCCTTTTTGCACAACCAAGCGAATAGTGAGAATGAGCCTGGGGAGATCGCACAACCACTTGACAGCGATGTATTAAAGCCATTAAAAGCGAACTCAGCTTCGCTGGCCATTGCTGTCTCGCTGGGACCCCTAGGCGGGACACCATTGTTTAGAAACGTTGTTGGGGGGCGAGATGGCCGAAGTGGTTAGAGCGCGAATTTACTGGCCAGAAGGTCCGTGGTTCGAATCCGACCTCCGCCTCTCGACTTCCTCTGTCTGGGCTTGGGCAACCTGACAGTATCTCAGCCCTCGTGCCTCCTATGCGTGGCATGGCAGTTAGGCGCCGAAAGGTTGTTACAGCTGAACGATTTTTTTTTATCAAGAAACGTTGTCATATAGGATCCGGTGGTGTTGTCGATGGCGCTCATTCATCCAAGCTGTTGCCTTCAATCCGTAGCTTTCTCTCCCTGTCTCCCCAATCAAAAGCCCACTGATGCTCTTGTATTTACTCATCAATTATACCAACTACTGTCTCCAATGAGTAGCTGTCTGCTCCTACCACCCTAAATCGTTGGTGAATAAAACTGGGAGCTATAACCACTGTACAACCGAAGATGATGATAGATGGATGTGAGTGTTTGTGCTCATGTGGAAATGGGGGTTGAGGCGGTGGAGGGAGTATAAGGCGGAATGGAGTTGTTGTTGCAACCAACAAAACTCAGAAGTTGCTTGTTGTGCGTCACTTTGCATCCAGCGTATAAGCGAGTATTTTGCAAACCTGCCTAGAGCAGGCACAACAGTAATCCATAAATTACCTACGGCCAGAGTAACTCCAGACTGCCCGGCCTGATATATGGGGTTTCTTAGGGAAGTTGCAACCCGGAGCTTTTGGTTGAATAACACGGCCAATAGGGTAATGGATTTCGCAGTCCACCACTGAAATATCTCATGTTTTTGGATGATGCGTAGTCCACAGTCGAATTTACCGATGGGTGGTCGTTCTGCTTTGGCACCCTCTCGGTGCCTAACTGCCATGCCACCCAAAGGTTGCACGAGGGCTGGGATACCGCCAGGTTGCCCAAGCCTAGACAGGGGAAGTCGAGAGGCAGAGGTCGGGTTCGAACCACGAACCTTCCAACCAGTAAATCTGCGCTCTAGCTACTTGGGCCATCTCGCCCCCTATGTGTGGTAAGACTGCTTGATCCAGTTTTACTGTCGAGGTCCGAAGTAAAAGATGTTTTGTACGCCACCCGGACGGTTCCTTGAGAAGCCGTTGGCAGCCTAGTGAAATGCGCTATCCCACAAACGACAATGATCACTTTTTTGAAAAGTCCAACACAACTGGGTGGGTCCCTACACGCCTAGAGTCGTTGATTTTGTAAGCCAACCACATAGGCCTTGTCAAGATGCCGTCATTGGGTATATACACCTTTTTTCCGGGGAACCATTTAGTTTTAGTGGCATCACCACCACTTATCCTGCTTAGTAGGTCATCCTCTTACCTACGACATTGGGGCGCATCTGGAGGTATACAGTTCTGCATCATTTCGAATGGCGTTGAAATTCTACGTCAAATAGCCCTGGAATTCCGTTAACTTTGGTAACTAATCCTCAGGTTTTTCTTCACTGTGTTTCAGTTAAGCGCTCAACAGTTGGACTTGGAATCCTGCAGTGCAACCAATAGACACTATATCCCCTGTTGCAAACTTCCTAACCGACAGTTTAAAATATTTGGGAACCGAACTTATGCTCGGAAGTGAGAATAAGCGACGATTACTCAAGTATCCTATCCTCTTATCACGTTGTGTACCCGAGGCTTCACTGTATGCCAAGTGTGTTGCTCTTCAAGAGGACGTCCGAAAGCTCGTGTGTGATCAGGAATTTCAGCGTCTCAAACTGTGTTTAGAAAAGAGGGCTCGAGAGCTCAATACGAAGCTTTAGACTTGTTTATCATGTCGTGTGGAGATAAAAATAAACCGAGTGATTCTGCTCATGTCAGTCTGTTCCCTTCTCCACCGTGGCAACTAGTCACTAAACACCATTCACCGTCTTCTGAATCGCCAGTCCGGCCACCTACTCCACCGGGCACCAATGTCTATCGCATGTTTGGTAACCTTTACAATTTGGATGATGCCATTCTTCGTTCGTTGGAATCTCAAGGAGTGCGTCGGGTCTATCCCCAGGTAAGTTCCTTCCATAGGTTTCAGTGCAGGATTGTTTGCTTTGTACACTTTTTATATGACATGGTAACAGCGATGATCTTAGGTCTAGAGGTGGGTCAATAATTTGGTTCTTTCGACCGACTTGTTTTCAACTGGTCACCGTATCTGTCCAGTTGTGCATCGTGTAGGTTAGACTACCTGGTTGTGTTTTGGAAACCCTGCCTAACTCTCGGGTGAATTGTTAACAACAATCATTTCTCTTCATCGTTTGATAGGGTACTGCGCTATCTAGCCATGCCGTTTCACGTTAGCATGAGAGCGTATTTGTCTAGGCATATTACGTTGTTTCGTTTACACATATTGATAAAGAATTCATCTTAGCTTACAATTATCAATTGTTTATAAAGGTGTGTACCAGCTTCTCTTATCAGCTTCAGATTGGACTGTACCACGATGTTGTCTTGAGTGTCTTAGGTTAAGTTGGTTGTTGGAAGCTACCGCTGCATTCTCATCCGCTAGTGAAATAATAGTAAGCCCGAAAACAGTCCCTGTACAGAATTTGTCACACAATAGATAGTCAGGGCATCCGGTATCTCGCTCATTCAGTCATACGTAGTTAATTTGGTTGTATTAAAATGTCGCAGCTAGAAAGTACATTCGGTCATTTGATTAACTCGTTGCGTTTTCCACTTTCCCCACTCGTAGCTAAGGCATCACACGTGTATTGATAAAGTTCAGTCGCAGTTATCGTTTGGATCTGTGAAGCGGTCTAATCGGCGTTGCACACTTCCCAACATGTCTATATGGATTTAAATAACAAAATATAAATCATTCAGCTGTAGCACCCTTCCGGTGCCTAGCTGCCATGCCACACGAAGAAGGCACGAAGGCTGGGATACCGCCAGGTTACCCAAGCCTAGACAGAAGTCGAGAGGCAGAGGTCGGGTTCGAACCACGAACCTTCCGGACAGTAAATTCGTGCTCTAACTACCTGGTACATCTCACCATCTCATGAATTTTGTCTGTATCGGATCGATACCAACGGTAAATTCAGCAGACAGCTTTTTTCAGTAATATTTTGAAAATCTGAATCTCCTAAGCCGAATGATAGGATAAAAGTAGAAAATGGAACTTTAGAAGCATTCTCTGCACTGTATTCGGTGTAGGGCCAAAATAATAATTTGGTTTTCTCTGAAACTCTTATTTTAGACGCGCTTCCCAAAATCTGTTGTAAAAAGAATATTTTACGGACACAAAATATAATGATCGCATTTACATAATCGTAGTGGCGGCCTGGCGCAGCACATTCGTAAGAAAGTCGCAAACGAGAGATTTTGCTTGGTTCCAGGTGAGACTTCCGGTAAAACCAAATTGGTACGCAACTGAGTGTATTTCGCTGAAAGTCATTAAGTCAATGCCATTCCTCACGGACAGGGCTTCCCTGCAATCCTCTTTGGGTTTAACTAACTACTACCACAGATCCCGGAACTCATAGGCCCGCCAAATGCACTTTTGGTTAACGAACTAACGACCCAGCGTCACAAAGCCTTTGATGACATTGGGCAAATCTTAATTTCATATCTTCTGACTCAACACGGCTAAACATTGTCGATAATGATTGCTGCTGCTGCATTGCAGAATGGTATTGATGATGTATTACTGCACCAGTTCTCCGACTGACAGTGAGAAACGGCAATGCACACGTTTCGCGCGCGGAAGTGAATTATACTCAGATCGAAAAAGGAAGGTCTGTCCTCGCTTCCACATGCTGTACCATGCTGCACATGACACATGGTCGCTAATTTCCGCTGTTATCGACCTTTAGTACCAAGGCATCCCTGGCATCATGACTGTTTGTGTGTGTCACTACCTTACTGGCATATTATTTTGAGTCACGTTTCGAAAGACATTGCCTGCTTGTCATTCCCATGCATTGCTCAGAATGATTGCTGACCACACGCCCGAAACACCAGATGATGGCATTGTTGTACCTCCGAGGCCAGGCAGGTATATCGAACATTTGTCCGTCGGCTCCCACTAAAAGCAGAGAACTCTAGTTCAGTCCCCAAGGTGTGTGAATCAAATGTGACTAGCTGTTCAGTTCACCTCAAAGGAGGAAGGCTTTCGAAAGAACCCCACATAAACATAAGGTTGCTGAAACATCTTCCACAGGCCAGGACTGGCTTCGCCCCTTTTTCGGGTTCATCAGGTAGATGCAGTCCCGAAGCTTACCTCAGTCTTGTGTTCCCATATCGGACAGAATACGCAAAAATGTCAAACTTATTTGGTTTCAATGGGAGACTTAGCCAAATCTTCCGCTTATGATATTCTTAAACTGAATTTGCTGCTCAAAGGCTGCCTCACGTTTCACTTGGCACGATATTCGAAATATCGAAGGTTCACAGCACTGAAGAAGAAAGAAGGAAATCAGCTATTCAGTGGATTCCAGAACAATGGATACCCAGGCGATTTTATGAAAAGAATTTCCCAGAAGATACCTAGATGTCAATAACAGTAAGAACAGACACCAAGACTGTGTATCTGAACATATCTGAACTCAAAGCAAGCGTATTAGATCAAAAATGAATCCTCGTAGCTTACGAACCGAGTGCTACCTTACGGAAACTGATCTTAGGACCAGACAACAATACTGATAAAATCAAGAGGAGCGACGTGATATACCATTTCAACTGCACCAACTGCAACAGGTTCTATGTTGGGCAAATTCGAAGGAAATTGTGTACGCGATTAATAGAACAACGCCACTTTTAGAAATTATGATCATTTAGCCTTGTTTCTTCTTTTTAAACGTTAGTTGCGGATCTAAATCTCGATACTTTGTCACGTTCATCTCGCATTTTCCGTACCACCTGGTACAGTTGAGATATTTTGCGTAATTGATGTATGTGACAGTTCTTCGAGTAATGATGTACAGTCTTCGTTTACTTGGGCAACCCGAACTAACCACGCTACACGTAACTGATCAACATTCCGGTTGAAACAGTGCCTCCCTCTACGTCAAGAACTAACAAGATTTCTACAACCACATACGATCTCTGTGATGCGCAGTTTAAGTGTCACCCTGAGGAAATTGATTTCAAGGCCTAAGGATAAAGTCAAAGCAGAACAGTGTCATTTAGCAGATAAATTTCAACGAATGTAGCAAATACTACATTGAACAAACTGGAGAGACAGTTTACATGGAACACAAAATGCAGCACATCCAGCTGACGACTATCGTAAGCGGTAGATTCAGCTGGGATTCATTTGAGCCCCTTTTAAGACCAAATTAGTTTGAAAATAAGTGTATTTCACGAATTCCGCCTGATTTGAGTTCAAGTGGAATGTGAGGATGAGTGAAACACGGGGACTGTGCCCACCTGATAGGCGCAAAGGGCGAAGTCGACTGTGGTTTTGTGGAAAGCTTTTCAGCAACCTTTGTGTAGTTTGTTCCGTCCAGACAATGTGCTGTGATGCTGCCTCAAATGAAGTATGAAGTGGTCTTTCTGCACCATATTCAATTGAAGAATATTATAAGCGAGGGAATAATCTGGGATTCAGTTGAGTCTGCCGTTAAACTAGTTTGCATGTGAATGTTTTTCGCGATGTGATTGTTTCCCCAGCTCGTAGCCTCACGTGGTTCATCTCATGCCCAGTTCGAGTTGATGCCCCCACCAGTCTGTCAGTCATTACACTTGTCGGATTTGTTAATGGTTGGACAGGTCGCTACAGTGGTCGGCTGTGGTCCCTTCTCATGATTGGTCATTCTGTCACACTTCTGTACTGTCACGTGCATCAGTTTGCAACACTAAATGCTTTCGACTGGCACCTTTTGAACATTGCAGCCGGCAGTAGGAAGCGTCACTGAAGCTTTTAAAATCCCTACAAATCCTGTTCTGTTCTATCTGCTCCCCGTCTAACCTCGCTGTCATCGATTCCCATTCCGCTTAGTAGGCTTCTACTTGTTTGCCCCTTAATTTATAATTTTGCAACTATCCGTTTGGTCGTCCTATGTCGATGTCGTGGTTGTTTTTTTTTTGAATGTGGGTTTCTGATGTGCTCCTCTGTTCCTGTCGTGGAACTCTTGTTGCGTGTGGAATAGGGTATCTTCTCTCAGTACTTAGCCTTTGCATCTCATTGCCAGTCGGTAACCCCCACCCTTTTCCCAAATCGTCGGTACGTAGTTCATTGTATCGCCATTGTTACGTTGTATGTTCTTCCCACGTCGCTTCTTTATTTCCACCTCCCACTTATTTACCGGTCCAACACACTTGTTTGTTTCCAGTCATCGCATTCATTCTCCGTTGCCACACAGAACTCTTTCCCTGGAACCACTCGACTCTGAACCATTCTTCGCTGCTCTGTTGTTCCAGCCTCTCATAGTCCCTAGTTTGTACTTGACCGTCTGCCCACGACCAGTGTCTTCGGTTCTCCTTTCCTTTTAATCCGCTTATGTGACCAACAGAAGGCCCCCAGGGTCGTTTAAGATCNTCATTCTCCGTTGCCCCCCAGACTTCTTTCCCTGGAACCACTCGACTCTGAACCATTCTTCGCTGCTCTGTTGTTCCAGCCTCTCATAGTCCCTAGTTTGTACTTGACCGTCTGCCCACGACCAGTGTCTTCGGTTCTCCTTTCCTTTTAATCCGCTTATGTGACCAACAGAAGGCCCCCAGGGTCGTTTAAGATCAGCTGCCACTTTACTTTTCAAGTGGCTATCTGTGGTCCTGGCAGCAACTTTAACCAACAGAAGCTGACTGACCGATTCAAACTCAGTCAATTTTCATTCCTTCACTCCTCATTCCTCCCGTTGCAAACACCTGTGATCAGCGCTGCTACTTATCCTCCACCCTCCAACCACACACTGAAGTTGTAGTGAACGCTGAAGTCCAAAATCCTCATTCGATGTTCCATCGTTCGACCTTCATGTTAGACTATGTGACGAAATGACAGAGCAAGCACGTAGCTCAATGGATTGTGTTTAGATCATTGTTTCACCCACCCGTCACCCTCCCCCCGATTCAATCTGATAGATTGCTTTGACGGGAATCATTTGGTGTTTATCCTGTAGATTGTCTTATTGTATTCAGAAGTAGTAACCAGTAACTAATCTCAGACTGCCACTTAATTGTCTTGCTAAATATTTATGCTATTCCCCTCATTTGAACAGATAACTAAGCAAACGTTAGGTTTTTGGTCTGCGTTTTAGTGTTCATATAGTTATTTCCTCTAGGATGAGCATGTACGTTGGGTTATGCTGTACCGCTGACAGGCGTGGACACTAATAGGTAAGAACAGCTGACCAACTGGAATAACCTATGGTGTATCTGGTTTTTAACCTGCGACATACTAACTCCCCGTCATCATTTCTTCTACTACTAAGTAAGTTTAATACTAAAGGCGACTCAGTGTAACGCTTGCAGTAGCGTGTTCTACTAAGGTGTAATGTACACCGAAGATTTATTCCCAATCGTCACTTGAACCGTCACCATTTTCTCTACAACTAACATTCCGCTTTGCCCTTATATTCATTCTCACAGACCTACAATCGCAAACGGGAACTGCGAAAGATCAACTTTTCCATCCTAGCAAACTATCTGGATCTGCTGGACATTATAACACGGGACCCCAGTTCAACCAAGCGCACGGAACGCCTGGACAACTTGGCAGTGTTATTTATCAATATGCATCATCTTGTTAACGAGTATCGACAACATCAGGCACGTGATCTGCTCCGGGAAATTTTGAAGTACCAAGTGAGTACGGCAGCAGCGCCCGTCTTTGCCAGGTTTATCAGAGTTGGAGAGTTAGGGCTTCGCCATTCTACGGTTTGATTCAAGACTGGCTCAGCGATTGTCAAAGCTTCATGTAGGGTTGTTTCATGTATTTCTACTTCCAAGTTTGCTCAAGTCTTTCGGGTGTCACACTCCATGGGCAAACGAATAAATACATCTCTTCAGTTTTCCGCAGTTCTTTTCAACCAGCTGGTCACTATTATAAGTATTATGTCATCTCAACAGAATTTGAGTAGACTGAGATTACTTGTGGGTTATCCAAATCAATGATGTCTGCTTAAATAGTCCAGATGGTCTAGGTGTATGATTTGTCCACTAAAAGTCTTCTGATCCAGACCGATTGGAGTATAGTACAGATGCGCGAGGAACGAGTCATTGGAGTCGGAGCCAAGGCCAGTGTGGCTCCATGTGCACGTAGAAGAAACTACTTCGACAGTAAACACGTCAGATGACAGGCCTATATGGCCATTGTTCCTAGACATGACTTCCGTCACTCTACCATTAGGATGACGGCAGAGTCAGAAGCGGCATTCATATCCACAAGAACGGTCAGGAGGATGTTTGAAAGAGCAGCGCGCGCT